CGACGCACCCGGCCTCAGACCCGGAGCCGGCCAACACCAGACGTCAATGATCTGGCTTAGCCTTTGGCCACTTGGAACCCTCGCATACGTATACAGGCATCATCATGGCAGCGAACTCTGGAAATACGGGCTGGGCCCAACTACGTCAGCAGGCGCGAAGTCTGGAGAGCCAGGTTTGTCGGGCATGCTCCTCTGTGTGCTGGTCCTGTCCACTGACGCCGATCAGACCGAGACACTATTCCACACCTATTCCCAGTTCTCGACGGTATCGAACATCCCGCCCAAGCCGACAGAAGACGAACGAGCGACCGAGGCGAAGCTGCAAGATGTGCTGGAAAAGGTCCGTCGCGCAGCGCATGCTTTCCAGCGGGACGAGCTCACCAAACTAACCTCCATCATGAACAGCGCGAAGCTGTCGTCTCCCAGCTGACCCGCCTCCTCGAGTCGGACCCGACCCTCACCTCCTCGGCCCTGAAGCAGAACAACCTCCTCGCTCCCTGCGCGACAAGCTCGCCGACCACAAACGCGACCTCGTGCGCCTCCGGGCGACCCTCTCGCAGGCGCGCGACCGCGCCAACCTCCTGACCAACGTCCGCTCCGACATTGACGAGTACAACCGCGCCAAGCAGCAGCAGGACCCCGGCGCCGCCGAGGCCGAGTACATGCTCGCCGAGCGCTCGCGCATCGACAACAGCAACTCGATGGCCGACAGCGTCCTGAGCCAGGCCTACGCCGTGCAGGACAGCTTCAACCTGCAGAGGGAGAGCCTCGCGAGCATCAACCGCAGGATCACGCTCGCCGCGAGCCAGGTGCCCGGGATCAACTCGCTCATCGGGCGGATATCGGCCAAGAAGCGACGGGATGGCATCATCATGGGGGCGTTCATCGCTTTTTGCTTCCTGTGCTTCTGGTTCTTCCTCTGAAGGGACACGAGAAGGGAGGGGAGGGGGATTTCGGTTTTCTCCCCTGGCGCGCGTTGTAGATCTGGTTGTAATGAGCAAGTATGCTGCTGCTTTGGCGCTTTTTGAAGGGGAAAAGACTATAGCATGTTGGGACCGGGGTCAAGGGTTTGCGAGGGCGTTGGGTGTTTTCGGTTTCAATACACACACAGAGAGACACACATCCTGGATGTATGATGCGTGTTTCCTTTTTTTTTTTTTTTTACTCATTTGACAGTGTTGTACAAGTAGGGGAAGGTACATTGTGGGAGGGAATCATATGTATATGGTTATATCTATCTTCCAGCCATCATAATTCAGCCCGGCCCGGGACGGCAATGGATGAGTACTGATGTTATTTTTTTCTTGG